ATATGTATATATATCTCAGGATTTCATTTATAATACATACTTTAAAGTTTAAAAAAACCTTGAGATGAATCACCATATTTGTGTAACCTTGGGAAGCTCGTAGCTATATTATTCTGATGAATTAATATTAAGTTCAGTCATAAATTGTTGAATTATCACATGCTTTAAGAGAATTTTTCAATTTAGATTTTTGGCTTGTGTTTTGGAATACTTGGTTTTTGTGAATTTCACGCCAAAGGAAAAATTTAGCTGAAGTGGTCATGTATAACCTGGCAGAATTTAATGAATTGCATGAGGTTGGTTATTTAAATCCCAAACCAGTAGTTCTAAAGTATTTTATTGGAGCATTATAAAGGCTGCTTTGAAGACCTGACATTAAGGGGTAAATCATCACCAAAGTGCCTGGTGGTTCAAGAGCATTCAGAACTGTTAATTAATGGTTTAAATAACATCAATTTTAACATGCTGGCTTTGCATCTTTCATGAAGGAATCAATATTTGGGCAGAAGAATTTCGATTTTTCTTTTTAATTTGTGAAAAGATTTCATCCTGCTTGTGAATTTGTTGTTCATATTAACTCAATCAACCCTACATTTTTAATTTGGTAAGGTTCAAATGTGACGTAGGGGCGAATAGGTTAAATCAGACTGGCAAAACTTCCTTTTCGTGTCTTGAATGATCTATGGTTTAAATATTCGTATGGTGTTTTCGATGAGTTTATTAAAATTAATTAGAGGATAGCATTGGGGAAACTGTATTGAGGGTTTTCTCAGCGAGAAACTGAAGGACTGACTTTGGAAGTCAAGACTGTATGTAGGAGTTTGTCAGCAAAAATCTTCTTATGTCAACCTCATAAAGCCAATTGTCTAATTAACTTAATGGCTATATTTCGTCTTCTCTGGGTCTTAAAAGCAGATGACAGATAGAGCTGACATATTTATATATTATGTCACACAGTTGATCTTACGTTTGTTCATGATCAGGACATGATGTTGTTGGCATGGTTACAATAAAAACATGTAAGTGGATCAGTATGGGAGAAATAAGGGTGTGAATATGTGTTGGATCACAGTCAGGAGCTGTGATTGTTACGGCAGCCAATACCAACGGATTATATATAACAATATAACAATCTGACAATCTATAAAGCTCTGAGAGATGAATATTAGGTAATTGTACCTATCAAACATTTGGTAAGAGTGCAGTCCCCGATGTGTCCGTCAAATGATTGGTAAGAATAGAGTTCCAAACATGACAGTCAAATGTTTGGTAAGAGTAGAGATCCAAACATGACAGTCAAATGAGTGGTAAGAGTAGAGTTCCAAACATGACATTCAAATGATTGGTAAGAGTAGAGTTCCAAACATGACAGTCAAATGTTTGGTAAGAGTAGAGTTCCAAACATGACAGCTAGTCAGAGGTTTGGTAAGAGTAGAGTTCCAAACATGACAGCTAGTCGGACGTTTGGTAAGAATAGAGTTCCAAACATGGCAGTCAAATGATTGGTAAGAGTAGAGTTCCAAACATGACATTCAAATGATTGGTAAGAGTAGAGTTCCAAACATGACAGTCAAATGATTGGTAAGAGTAGAGTTCCAAACATGACAGTCAAATGATTGGTAAGAGTAGAGTTCCAAACATGACATTCAAATGATTGGTAAGAGAAGAGTTCCAAACATGACAGTCAAATGTTTGGTAAGGGTAGAGTTCCAAACATGACAGTGAAATGATTGGTAAGAGTAGAGTTCCAAACATGACATTCAAATGATTGGTAAGAGTAGAGTTCCAAACATGGCAGTCAAATGATTGGTAAGAGTAGAGTTTAAACATGACAGCTAGTCAGACGTTTGATAAGAGTAGAGTTCCAAACATGACAGTCAAATGTTTGGTAAGAGTAGAGTTCCAAACATGACATTCAAATAATTGGTAAGAGTAGAGTTTAAACATGACAGCTAGTCAGACGTTTGGTAAGAGTAGAGTTCCAAACATGACAGTCAAATGTTTGGTAAGAGTAGAGAACCAAACATGACATTCAAATGTTTGGTAAGGGTAGGGTTCCAAACATGACACTCAAATGATTGGTAAGAGTAGAGTTCCAAACATGACAGTCAAATGATTGGTACGAGTAGAGTTCCAAACATGACAGTCAAATGATTGGTAAGAGTAGAGTTCCAAACATGACAGTCAAATGTTATGTAAGAGTAGAGTTCCAAACATGACAGTCAAATGATTGGTAATAGTAGAGGTCCAAATATGACAGTCAAATGATTGGTAAGAGCAGAGTTCCAAACATGACAGTCAAATGTTATGTAAGAGCAGAGTTCCAAACATGACAGTCAAATGTTTGGTAAGAGTAGAGTTCCAAACATGACAGTCAAATGATTGGTACGAGTAGAGTTCCAAACATGACAGTCAAATGATTGGTAAGGGTATAGTTTTAAACATGACAGTCAAATGATTGGTAAGAGTAGATTTCCAAACATGACAGTCAAATGTTATGTAAGAGTAGAGTGCCAAACATGACAGTCAAATGATTGGTAAGAGTAGAGGTCCAAACATGACAGTCAAATGATTGGTAAGAGCAGAGTTCCAAACATGACAGTCAAATGTTTGGTAAGAATAGAGTTCCAAACATGACAGTCAAATGATTGGTAAGGGTATAGTTCCAAACATGACAGTCAAATGATTGGTAAGAGTAGAGTTCCGAACATGACATTCAAATGATTGGTAAGAGTAGAGTTCCAAACATGGCAGTCAAATGATTGGTAAGAGTAGAGTTCCAAACATGACAGTCAAATGATTGGTAAGAGCAGAGTTCCAAACATGACAGTCAAATGTTTGGTAAGAATAGAGTTCCAACCATGACAGTCAAATGATTGGTAAGGGTATAGTTTTAAACATGACAGTCAAATGATTGGTAAGAGTAGAGTCTAAACATGACAAGTCAAATGTTTGGTAAGGGTATAGTTCCAAACATGACAGTCAAACATTTGGTAAGAGTAGAGTTCCAAACATGACAGTCATATGTTTGGAAAGAGTAGAGTTCCAAACATGACAGTCAAATGATTGGTAAGAGTAGAGTCTAAACATGACAAGTCAAATGTTTGGTAAGGATATAGTTCCAAACATGACAGTCAAACATTTGGTAAGAGTAAAGTTCCAAACATGACAGCTAGTCAGACGTTTGGTAAGAGTAGAGGTCCAAACATGACAGTCATATGTTTGGAAAGAGAAGAGTTCCAAACATGACAGTCAAATGATTGGTAAGAGTAGAGTTCCAAACATGGCAGTCAAATGTTTGGTAAGAGTAGAGTTCCAAACATGACATTCAAATGATTGGTAAGAGAAGAGTTCCAAACATGACAGTCAAATGTTTGGTAAGGGTAGAGTTCCAAACATGACAGTGAAATGATTGGTAAGAGTAGAGTTCCAAACATGACATTCAAATGATTGATAAGAGTAGAGTTCCAAACATGACAGTCAAACATTTGGTAAGAGTAGAGTTCCAAACATGACAGTCAAACATTTGGTAAGGGTAGAATCTTAACATGACAGTCAAATGTTTGGTAAGAGTAGAGTCTAAACATGACAGTCAAATGTTTGGTAAGAGTAAAGTTCCAAACAGTCAAATGTTTGTTATTAAGGGTATAGTTCCAAATGCACAGGCAAATCTATAAGAAGAGATCCACCTCATCAGGTCCAAAACATGGTCTATTAACACAGGGTCTCTCTTAATAAAGGTGGTTGCATGAGCAGGTAAGACTCTTATAATATATTAAGAGATCATCTTTGTCAAGAGACCACCATCGGGCATTTTGGTGGTGGTCCATCTCATGTTTGGAAGTTGTCATTTGTATACAAACACCTGGGAGACCAGTGCTAATGATGGAGTTGTTTCTGCTGCGAAAAATGTACTTAATTTTACCTTAGTGACTGATGTGTCAGGAAGTGTGCATTACTGTCAGTCATCACCCTGTTCAGTTTACATTAAATTACAGGTGGACAAGACAGGGTCTCTTTAGGCTGTCCATCAGAACGACTGTCCTTGGTAAACTGACCATTGCCCTACTGGTCAAACAGGTGTACACAACAGTATTATGTTAACCATAGCTCATAACTGGATGACATGTACAAGTTTATAGCAGGGGCAGATTCAAGATTTCAGTATCATATACAAAGTTAGTTGGTATTATCCTCAATTCCATCACCATGTTTACGCACCCCAACTCACTCCAACTCATGAAAATTGTTCAAAAGAAATCATGTATATATAGAAACAAACAAACAAACAAACAAAACAANCCCCCCCCCTCCACTGATGAGGGGCAGCTAGCCCATATACTCAATGAGTAGCTTTCCACAAAGTGTTTTCAAAGGTATGTTTCCCATAGGAGACTTTCCAAAGGTATCTGTCATCCCTAGGCATTACAAATGTTCAAAAGTAATAAAAAGAAAAAGTGTAGGAAATATTGTCAAAATTTCACTATATAAATTCAGTATATAATATGATGTTCACTTCATTTGTCCAGGACGAGGCTTTTATTAGACCTTTAACTCATTCATCTCTGAAGACACATAAATTTGTGTGAACTCTACCAATTCCAAGGTTGGAACATATCATTATGAAATTTCAGGGTGAATGAGTTAACCCTTCACCCCTAGGTAACTTAAGTAGACTCTACTATAGCTTTGTCTGGATGAGTCCATTGTGGTCCACAGTGGTTAAAGGGTTAAGAGTGAGTTTTTGACTCCAAAAAATGAGCTTTGACTCTTAAAGGATATTAAAGGACAGGTCTATTTGACGTAATCGTATACTATATTTTGACTCAAAAATGCAGGGAATAACTCTTTTTGAGTTAAGAAATCTCTACTGGTAAGTGTCAACTGAAAGCTCTGTCAGATCTACATTACAATTGTTTACCATACTACCTACATCAAAGGAACGGATTCATTGATTTAGACCTTCATCGACAGCTGATATGTTTTGTTATCTATTTCAGTTCATGAGGGACGAGCTACAGTACACTGAAGGATTTGAGAGACTGTCCATCTTCCATGGCAATGACAAACTCATCAGCACCGGGGACCTTTGGCAGGCCTGGAAGAAATCTACAGGTGGGAAAACACAGTTGCTCATAGAGCTCTTCATGTATGCTTACATCAGCTTAACCAATACCTATCCTCAATTTTCGAGAGAAAAAATATCTTAGAAAAAAAATTAAGTTCACGGGCGTTTCACAATTTCCAACACCATCAATTTGAACTAAATTTTTAATCATTTTCATGTGGAAAGTTTGAACTGAATTCATCATGAAGGTAACGAGCCTTTCAACAAATAGGTTCAGTTATATTCCTGTATAATGTCTGTGACATCAGCTGCAGGAAACAAGTCCACTATCAGTTCTGTGAGACATCCAAGTTTATACTTATCAGTTTTGGCATGGTTGTGTAGAGACAGCTGAACTAACCTTCAGCACTCCGGCCCCATTAGGGATGTTTCTATGGTATTAGCAATGTGCAGTCCATGAGCTAGGTTGTTTTATCATTTATTGGGCATACACATACCACATTTCTTCTTAAGAATACTCTTTTCGTCTTAAGTTTTCCAGACTGTTATTAAATATAAAGTATAAAACTAAGTACTATTGCTTAGATATAATTACCGATTAGATAAGTTCATTTATTGACAGTCGTCTATCACAAATGATTTTTGAGTTGACTGTGTCAGGGGCATTCTGGTACTGTCCAATACAGTCGAACCTCGTTATCTCGAACTCGTATACACGAAGACCCCATTTAACTCGGAAGTATTTCATCGGTCCCGGCCAAAACTCTTCTTAATCTTAGTAATAAAAACTCTGATAATTCGAACTCTGAAAACTCGAAAAACTTGGATATCCCGAAGTGAAATATCGGTCCCAACAACGTAAATCCTACTAAATATCTCCTACCTCGAAGTTTCTTAAGTTTCACAAGTCTTTCATATATTCTTTAAATAATTGATACATATTAGACGCAGTGCTACGGTAAACATCGTTCTCATAGAGCAGCTTACGCTCGGTCATAATTACCTCGATTAAACTTATGGCATTAAAATGTGTTTGAAGAAACAAACTTAATCAATGTTGATTAACAACAATTAGTACTCACTGCGAGCCCGTAAACAATTTGAATAGCACTTTATTTACACCAAAGCTGCCGACACATTCTAACCCGAAAATGGGTCACAGTGTGCGGTCATGCGTAAATAAGCTTTACAGTAAAAATCACAACCTAGGCCTGGTTCGTTGGTTTATGTTTTTACAGGAGCTTGTATGGCACTGATAATTAATTGAGAGATTATAGTAACAATACGATAATTATTGTTGAGTACGTCGTGTTGAGGAGATGTCAAGTGTTATTGAGGTCTATAAATGTGGATGTGTTTCCTGATTAACTCAAACCCATTTCGGAATGTCGAAATCAACTGAGCAATCCAACGTGTACGCTCCAATACAGTGATTTGTATAAAGACTTGCGCACTTGCATTTCCGCATTGAAGTATCTATCAGCATAGCACGAGGTCGGAGACAGCATGTGTGTTTATTGTAACATTAATTAATTAATGAATATGATTATGAATAAGTTGTTATTTTTAGCTCACCTGGCACGAAGTGCCAAGTGAGCTTATGCCGTGGCGCGGCGTCCGTCGTACGTCCGTCGTACGTCCGTCGTACGTCCGTCGTACGTCTGTCCGTCCGTCCGCCCTCGTCCGTCAACTTTTCCTTTAAACAACTTCTTCTGAAGAACAGACAGGCCTAGAGTCATGATATTTGGCTGAAAGCTTCGTTGGTAGGAGCCCTACAAAGTTTGAGAACGAAAATGACCTTGACCTGTTTTCAAGGTCACAGGGGTCAAATATGTCAAAAACTTCAAACGACTTCTTCTAAAGAACTAAAAGGTATAGAATCTTCATATTTGGCTGATGGCTTCCTGGGATAGAGCCCAACAAAGTTTGAGAATGAAAATGACCTTGACCTACTTTCAAGGTCACAGGGGTCAAATGTGTCAAACACTTCAAACGACTTCTTCTGAAGAACTGAAAGGTATAGAATCTTTATATTTGGCTGGTGGCTTCCTGGGATAGAGACCAACAAAGTTTGAGAATGAAAATTAGTTTGACCTACTTTCAAGGTCACAGGGGTCAAATATGTCAAAAACTTCAAACGACTTCTTCTGAAGAATTAAAAGGTATAGAATCTTCATATTTGGCTGATGGCTTCCTTGGATGGAGCCCAACAAAGTTTGAGAATGAAAATTACCTTGACCTTCTTTCAAGGTCACAGGGGTCAAATGTGTCAAACACTTCAAACGACTTCTTCTGAAGAACTGAAAGGTATATAATCTTTATATTTGGCTGGTGGCTTCCTGGGATAGAGCCCAACAAAGTTTGAGAATGAAAACTAGTTTGACCTACTTTCAAGGTCACAGGGGTCATATATGTCAAAAGCTTCAAATGACTTCTTCTGAAGAACTGAAAGGTATAGAATCTTTATTTTTGATTGATGGCTTCCTTGGATAGAGCCCGACAAAGTTTGAGAATGAAAATGACCTTGACCTTCTTTCAAGGTCACAGGAGTCAAATGTGTCAGACACTTCAAACGACTTCTTCTGAAGAACTGAAAGGTATATAATCTCTATATTTGGCTTGTAGCTTCCTAGGAAAGAGCCGAACAAAGTTTGAGAATGAAAATGACCTTGACCTTCTTTTAAGGTCACATGAGGCAGATATGTCAAACACTTTAAACGACTTCTTCTGAAGAACTGGTAGTTATAAAATCTTAATATTTGGCAGGTGGCTTCCTGGGAAAGAGCCAAACAAAGTTTGCGAATGAAAATGACCTTGACCTACTTTCAAGGTCACAGCGTTCAAATATGTCAAACAGTTCAAACAGCTTCTTCTGAAGAATTAAAAGGCATAAAATTATAATATTTGGCTGGTGACTTCCCGGGATAGAGCTCACCAAAGTTTGCAAATGAAAATGACCTCAACCTACTTTAGAGGTCACAGAGGTCAACAACATTTTAATGGATTTGTTCTTGAGAACTAAAAGGAATGGATTCATAAGATTTGGCTGGTAGCTTTTTGGAATAGAGCTAACCAATTTGAGAAGGAAAATGACATTGACCTACTTACAAGATCACAGGGAAAAATATGTCAAGCAACTTCTGAAGAAGAATCAAAAAGCATAGAATCTTATAATAATATTTTGCTGGTAGTTTCAACAGATGGAGCCAACAAAGTTTGCGAGGGAAATATTTTTAGTGCAATATAATACTTAATGAGAATATTTGGCTATGACTGCTTAAATATTCAGGTGAGCGATACAGGCCCTCTTGGGCCTCTTGTTTATTTTATATAGTTATCTTTTTGTCATTTATCGACTGTTTAAATACGTTGATTGTCAGAGAAATCAATGACATATATAGCCTCAAATTGCACCTAACACTTCACCAAGTTTTATGCCAAACATAGGAACTCGCTTAACTCAAATACTCGGATAACTCGAAGTTTCCCAACGATCCCGTCGACTTCGAGATAACGAGGTTCGACTGTATATGCTATAGTTTACTGCAAGCAATCCCGACGGAGTGAAACCTAAGAGGGGAAATGGGTTTTTCCCCTAAATTTCACCCTCTATCCTTCAGGAATAACTATATGACTATGAATATTTTTCTGCAAAGTCTTTTAAAAGACAGCTTAAAACCAGGCCGTTGTATTCTCTATAAAGTCTTTTACAATTTCGGGTTGGCTTGATATTAGACCCTGGTGTTCTCTGTAAAGTTTGTCAAAATATTGAGTGGGCTAAAAGCCAGACCATTGTGTTCTATGTAAAGTTTGTCTAAAGATTGAGTGGGCTTTAAATCCAAGTCAGTTCAGAGATGGGGTAGACTTAAAACCAGATCATGGCATCCTTCTGTAAATTCTGTTCAGAGATGGGATGGGCTTAATACGAGCACATGGGCTTATCACTGGAAAAATACGGTAGATGACCTGACCATGACCTGTTTGTATCAGGGCCAGTTTTAGGACTGAAGTAATTTGTGGAGTTATCTTACTTATGCTCTGTCTGTAATTGGGCTTAATTACCCTGTAATAGAGCCTGTACCATTAACGACTCCAGCATGGGACGTAGACTCTACCCAAAGGTCACTTAACCACAGCTAGATGTTTGTCCTGGTGCTGTTTGACCAATGTATGGGATGGTCAAACTCTGCTTGTGAAGGTCACACATCTTTACTTCTGTCTGTAGTGGTGCTGGTCTGGACCCGTGAGTCAAGCCTGAGGGACAAACCAGGCTAACTAAAAAAAAAAAATCTTGTTATCTAGCAGGTTTATTATATAACATCACTTTATGAAATGATCATTGGTCGAATTAGTGGTTTTAGTTCAAATTCTGACAGCACTTCAGACACTATTATGTTATGTTAAGGAGGCATGCTATCTAGAGGATAAGATCTTTAAGCCCCATGTCAAATGTATACTAAAATGACTATGTCCATGCTTAAATTAATTATATCCCCTCAAGTCCAACCCCTAAACAGCATTGTTGTCTGTCAGTTTGTCTGTCGCCATTGGTAAAACCTCGTCTGGACAACTCCTCTTAAACTACTAAGCCATTTTCAACAGAACTTCATATGCATGTTCCATACATTATGTAGTTGCTCTCCTGTTATGACTTTTTTACCCCCAGAGTTATTTCCCAGAATTATATAGGGACAACTTTGTTGATGCTATTGTCTCTGATTGGCTTGTGTTGGTTAGGAATGATCCTTTGTTCTAATAATGATGGAGTTATTTGGTGTATATGTATCACAGAAGTGGACCTTGGGCTGATGAGGTGTTTCTTCTACCTATATGTTGGCAGTGTTTTGGTTACAAATTTATGGGTAGGGTCGACCGTTCAGTAATGCTGACCAGTGTCCAAACTGACCATTATTATATACAGGTCTGTGTAGTCATGCGTTGACCATGTAGTGTAGTACTGATGAGGATTTCTCAACTCGTTTTAGTTTTTGGTATATATATTCTTAAGAAATATGTTGGCGGAGGGTAGTTTTATTGAAATAATACTTCTCATTATTTAAATTCATGCTGAAGTTCTTTACTAGTCAAAACTTAATGTTATTTAGGAAATTCTAACATTTGACTGCAGGAATTTTGAAGATCCAATTTGGAATATGGCTGTGCAATCAAACCTGTTTTTCATGACTGCTTCAAAGGCAAAGTTAACAATCATATTTAAAGAACACTGGTCTTGATAGACAGGTCGATCATATCAGGAAAATTATGTTATAGAAAGGTGGTGGCTAGAGACAGGTGGTAGATATAGACAGTTTGTTAAGGTACATGTGTATATATATGTGGTAGCTACAGACAGGTAGGATTAGACGGGTGGTAGTTATAGACAGGTGGTAGATATAGACAGTTTGTTTAGGTACATGTGTATATATATGTGGTAGCTACAGCAGGTAGGTTTAGACGGGTGGTAGTTATAGACAGGTGGTAGATATAGACAGTTTGTTAAGGTACATCTGTATATATATGTGGTAGCTACAGACAGGTAGGATTAGACGGGTGGTAGTTATAGACAGGGGGTAGATATAGACAGTTTGTTAAGGTACATGTGTACCTATATGTTGTAGCTACAGACAGGTAGGATTAGACGGGTGGTAGTTATAGACAGGGGGTAGATATAGACAGTTTGTTAAGGTACATGTGTATGTATATGTTGTAGCTACAGACAGGGAGGATTAGACGGGGGGTAGTTATAGACAGGTGGTAGATATAGACAGTTTGTTTAGGTACATGCGTATATATATGTGGTAGCTACAGCAGGTAGGTTTAGACGGGTGGTAGTTATAGACAGTTTGCCTTGGTATATATTTATTTAAGTGGTAACTATAGACAGGTAGGTTTAGACGGGAGGTTGTTATAGACAGTTTGTCTAGGTACATATTTATTTAAGTAGTAACTATAGACAGGTAGGTTTAGACGGGTGGTAGTTATAGACAGGTGGTTGTTATAGACATGTAGCTTAGGCAGTGTATGCAGTAAGGCATGGATACAAAAAGGGTGAACAATGATATAATTGACCATTGCAGTGTATAACTGGACAACGGAGGATGTCCTTCAGTGGCTGGTCAAGCATGTGGAGCTGCCCATCTATGTGGAAACATTCCGCACCAAGGATGTTGACGGCCCGATCCTGCCAAGGTAAATATGTCTTTAGTTTGCCTCTTAGTGTCGGATGTAGACGGAGAAACCTCAACCCCGGGGTAAGGTTTCCTAAGGCTAGCACAAAGCTATATGTCAAGTGCTAAACTTCAAAACTCTTCTCCAGGGCGTCAAGACTTCCTTGTCTGCATTTACACAGAAGTGGTTCATTATTTTTCTCCATCACTTAATTCCTAACGTAAAAATCAATTGTAACGGTGAACCCAGTGTACTGTGCCATTATCAAGGGCACATGAAATGTATGTAAAAAGAACTGACGATATCGTACATCAAGGGATGACATATATATGAGGTGATGTTTTCACAATGAGAGCATGTGTTATCCCTCTTTCCCAAAGTACCCAGTAGATCAAGGCTGTTTATATTTTCTCTTGTAGTGTGGAAAAATTGTAATTTTGGACCTAATCATTTCATTGGTTACACAATAGTAAGTTACAGAAAATTAATTCATGTAACAATTTTGCAATTCTAGAAAAAAATATCAGGGACATATTACTCCAACACAAATCACAGGTAAAGTTTGGAGGGTAGCACACATTTTAAACAAACCCCCCCCACCTGTAAATGTACACACTAAGATAAAGAAAAATATTAAGGATCCCCCTCAAATTTCAAAAATCTTCTTCTCAAGACCCAAATATGGTAGAATTAATACTTTTCATAGATGGAAGGGTCTTCAAGGGGCTGGTGGGGAAAAAAATGTCATATTTGCTAAAATGGCTTATACATGTTTAAAATACCTTCTTGTGAAATATACCGATTCAAATTTTGCTGAAATTCAATCCCTAAGAGTAAAAATTATAATTATATCGTCTAGACACCAGTTTCCGCGCGTTATGTATTTCCGCGCAGCCATTTTATCAAGCTATATCTCGTAACTACGTGACCTGCTGGACACAACACAAGGATATTTTGGACGTTTGGCCATCGTCTGTAAACTGACAAAAAAATTACCGGAAGTTCGTCCGGAAAACATAAGATTTAATCACTGATTACAAAACACGCATAAATATGCAGTTTTACTTAATGCTCTTTTTATCTTGCACAAAATGAACCCGTACCTGAAAAAACGGTGATATATTTCATTCATGAACCAGTCTTTTTTGTAGTCTGACAAACGTACGAAAATGTCGTATGCAAATGAGGCCACATCTCCTCGCCGATTTTTTTCCACTTCTGAAGAGCCAAGGAGACATTCTTATATCGATAAACAGTGTTTTCAATGAAACGTAAAACTTGTAAAGCAATGAACCTCCAATTTTCACCAATTTTAAACAGCACAAAATGAGAAATAACTTATCATCAACCAAAACCGATATAAAACTGCAGAAAAAAACATAATAACAGATTCTATATGATAACTAAATAAATATAATAAATAATTTTAAAAAAATACATGAATTCGTTCAATTTGACATCTTGAAAAATAAATTAAAAAGATGAAATTTTCAAAAAGTTGTTTTGATAATTAATTTGACGATCAAAGATATATTTTTTATTCCAAACGAAGCCTTTGTTCTTGCAGGTCACTGTAGAGAATTTCTTTTTAGTGTATTCGAGTTATCTTTCTTTGAACACTACATCAAAATAGACACACGGAAACATATGACGGCTTCTTCCGACGGGGGAAATTTGCTAAAAATTGTTTGTTCTGATTTTTTTAAAATACAGTTTTAAATTGCTAGTTTTTTGTTTCCTTTAGTAGATCGTATACATGTTTATGACAGTCTTCCGTAATTTCAACAGTGTTCTGCCGATATGAGTACGAAATCGCGGATGCTTCTTAAGTGCGCGGAAACCGGTAACCCGAGGATATTAAAGAAACCCTAAATCGTCACCTGACAGTCTAAAACTCTCAATTGACCCAGATCAGTGATGTCATTTTACCACACGCGGCGAAAGAAAAAGATGCATGCAAAAGTCATGACAGGCACGAGGTATCAATACCGTTATATATAACAACAACATATAGGTAGGAATACTACACTTGCATCATACATGACCTTTGAAAACAATTATTTACGTATAGTATTGCTGT